CAACCCCCCCCCCCCGCCAAGGGACCACAGACAACTGCCGAGGCAGCGAGGAGCAGAGAGGCGGCTAGGGGAAGGGCCCAGGACCCCACCCTGTCCTTCTGCAGCCAGGGACCCAGGGGCTCACGCCCCGACTCAGACTCCACAGCGCCAGGCTCCCTCCCAGGAGGCTGCCTAAATTCAAGTGCCTTAGAAGGGGCACCTTTCCGAGGCACAGGCATGAACCCCCTACCGGGGTCTGCACAAGGCCTAGCTTTGCTGACTTTCCGTGGAGGCTGGCCTCACGCTAAGCAAGCCAAGTAATAACAAACATCCAGATAAATCAAAAGTTTTGTTTTTTTTTTAAAGATCTGTTTCTCTTATTAAAGTATTCGGAGCAGTATTCCTTAAAAGAAACTCCCCCAGCAGGTTTATTTATAGAAAATATGCACATGCAGCAGGCCCAGAGAACACCAGAGGCCACCAGAGGCCACCAGAGTGCCAAGGGCTTCTCCAGTAAGGGCGCTAGTCTCTGGCCAACCCCTGGGCTGGCTGCTTCAACGTTCGCCCCTCGGCTCCCAAGTGGCGGGAGCCCGGCTCCCCAACTCAGGAGGCCAGAATCCAGTTCCAGCTATGCCTGCACACCTGGGTCTGACCCACAGTCTCCGCCTCTCGCCTCCAACTTTGCGTCATTAATACTGCTCTGGGGTCTGAGGAGATAACCTGCGCTTCCAGGCAGAGGTCACACAGCCACGCCATACACAAGCCAAGCCCATCACAGTTCACTTGGACTCTGACACACACACACACACACACACACACACACACACACTGTCTGTGAACACACACAAGCACAAGTGCGCACACACACACACACGAAGGGGGTGGGGAGGACTCAACCGGCAGAGCCCCCCATTGTCAAACAGAAGGGTTGGAGGAAAAGGTCGAGCAGTCAGTGGGATGGGGAGCATCTTCCTCAAGAAATAAGGTGTGTAGGGAGGCCTCCGTGTGATGAGTAGAAATTCCCCAGGTCAGCAGAAGGAGCCAGGTTCAGGGGAGGGAGGCAGGCCTGGGTCAGACCAGATGCCCCCGCCCATTGATGTAGATGCCATTGCCGGTGGGTTTGGCCCGCAGGGTCCCATTCTCTTGAACAAAATGGTTCATGGCCTGTTTGATGCCTTCATCCCGATCTTCCTCCTCCTCTGCCCGCCCAGAGCCTGGAGACAGCAGTTCCGTCTGTGTTTCAATCTCCCTCACCGTGGTCAGCGTGGAGTAACTGCGGCCCTCCGGCTCTTCACTCTGGACACCAAGGGCAGGGGTGCGTCAGGAGCCAAGGCAGGGCAGCCAGACCGGCGGTGGGGGGGGGGATAGGTGGGGGAGCAGCGGGGTCAGAGGTCAGGTGCAAGCTCAGGGGCTCAGAGCTGGGGGCCGGTAGCGAGTGTCAGGCATGGGGAGGGACAGCCGGAGAACAAAGGCACAGCAGAGGTGCCAGGGCTGAGACACGGGGACTGGTGTGGGGCCACTGGCCCACCACATCCGGGAGCAGGAGAGTGGTGGGGACGCCGGTGGGGCCGGGGGCCTCACCATCACAGAGCAGCTACTGTTGTCCTTGAGACTATCAGGGTGGCCCTCGGCTCTCAGCCCTACACTCTCCTCCGGCTGTGGGGCCCGGACACGGGGGAGGAGTCAGAACAGGGCTCCGCCTCCTCCCTCACCACCGCTCCCCCCAACCCGACCTGTCCACTCTCCCTGATGCAGACGTCCTCACCCTCCCCCACCCAGCCCCACCCCGGAACCGGTGCTGATGGTGGCCTCCCAGAGCAGCCCCCAGGCCCGTGGTGAAGGGAGCCAGGCGGAGGAGCCCACAGACCCAAAGCAGCTGCGCCCCCAGCTCCACCCCCAGCCCCAGCTGCGAGTCCGGGCCAGACCCGGTGGAGGGCCGTGCTGCTGGTCCGCAGAGGGACCCCCGGCCCCGGGGGATGCACTCAACCTTGGCACACACCTGGCTCCTGGGGTCCGCATGATGGGAATGCAGCCTCCGGATGGAGTTCTCCCTGGTCAGGGTCAGCTCCTCCTCACTAGGGAAGACACGCCCCTGTTAGCAGCTGAGGGTGGTAGCGGCCTCCCAAGGTGGGCCTAGCTTTGGCCAAGCCTATGTGACACCGGGCTGCAGGGGCCGGGCTCTGTGCTGTCCCCGCGAGTGTGTCTGAGAGGCTGCAGGGGGCGGGGGGTGTGTGTGCGTGCACACATGCCTGCACCCCGTGTTAGAGTGTGCGTACTTGGTGATACCCAGGCATATGGATCCGACCCTCACTCAGCAGTACGGTTCTCCCCATTCAGCTGTGGCCCAGGCCCTTCTCACTTCCCGAAGGACTCTGCCCGCCTCCGAAATAAGCTCCCAGTCTCTCCTCTCTCCCGGGGCCTGGCCCCCACCTGCTCACCTCGTCTTTGCTCCCAGCTTAGCTCTACCTGCCCCAGAGCAGCCAGTACTCACTATTTCTGGGTCATCTGCTGAGCCTTGCGCCGGTGGTAACGGGACATGAGCACCACCACCACCACGAGAAGGCAGAACAGGAGCGCAGCGATCACACCCACCACCACCACGGAGGCTGACACCAGGTCCACCTGCTTCCCTGGGGCATCCTGAGGGTCTGCTGGAGACAGGCCTCTGTCTGAGGGGGATGCTCAGATCCCTGACCCACCCCCAGACCTCACAAACCCTGCCACCTGGCCCTCACCAAACACATCCCAAACCACCCCCTCAGTTTGACCCTCTGCAAAGTTCATGCAGTCCCGCCCCTCCGAATCAGCACTGCCCCAATTCACCCTCTCCGTCTCGCCTGCTAGTGCCCCTGCAGGCCCTTGGCCCAGGCCCCCACGGCTGCCCCGGTGCTTACCAAGAACATCCACAGTGACCTGAGAGTCCCTGGAGGAGAGCTCATTGCTGACGTGGCAGACATAGATGCCACTGTGCTCTGTGGTCAGCGGAGGAAAGCCCAGCGTGTCCCCTTCCGCTCGGACCCCACTGGGCAGAGGCCCGTCCAACCTGGAGGACAGGGAAGCTGGAGCGGGCGGAGGCTGCCACCACCCGACGTGCCTGGGCAGCTCTCTACCTCCCTCCCCCATGACGTCACCCAGAGCCGCTGGCTGTTCCCACGGTGCCCCTCCCTCCCCCAGGCAGGTCCAGGCAGAGGCCCCTTCTCCCTGCCGCCCAGCCTGACCCGGGCACCCCCCACACACACCCGGGGAAGATCCACACGTGTGCCATCCCACAGGCTCCCATGGGCATCACGTCATCCAGCCCCGGGTACCAGGCCGACGTGGCACGAGGTCCACACAACGGGACACCCCTTTCCTATGTGGGCTCAGATGTACTTGGAAAATATGACCACACGCCCCAACACCCAAGATGTTGCACGGCAGGGTATACGAACAGAGCCCGAGGCACAGGCCAATGCACGGCTCAGTGGCTCACATGGGAGAACGTGCCTGTCGGGGGCTCCCACACGGGTGCACCTGACCCCTGCCTGAGTCCCTGGACGTCTGTGGTGGTGGCGCCGGCAATGCCGGGGGGTCAGAGTGTCACTTTAAGAGCAATAACAGCCAGATGTATCTTTTTGTCTCGTCCGCTTTAGGCACTCACATAAATACATAAAATGCGATTCTTTAAATACTGTATTATATTTCATAATTTGAAAGTTAGGGGGAAAAAACCAAGGACTTATTGGCTTATTCCCTACCAGTGACCATGTATTGCAGACTCCCTGGTCCAAGTCAATAATAATATTTGGTGACCATGCATATTCTTGCATAGGTCTAAGCATGTGCCCCAATTTATTTGGAGTTCAGGATATATTGTCCCAGCCCATAAGGAGTACACGGGACTGTGAAGGCAGGACCCTGGTCCCAAGCTACGCCCTCCCCCAGGGCCAGGCTCTTACCGTGTCCAGTTGTACGAGGGAGGGGGATGCCCTTCACTCAGGCACTTGAGTGTAGCTCCTTCTCTGCCAACCTGCCACAGCTTTTGGTCTTCAAGGCCCCTCACAGAGGCCTCAGCGAGGACTGGAATGGGAGGTGGGAGAAGAAAGAAGGGGAATGAGGCTTTTGATCATGCTGTTCCTCGAAGGACCCCTGCCCCTGCCACCACCCCGCCCCTCCCCCCTTCTCTGTTTCTCTGTCTGTCTCTGCAGCCCAACCTAGCCCAGTGCATCCTTGCTGGGTCCTTGCCACACGGCTCCCTCCCCTCTCTGAGCTCAGAGTCCACACTGATTTATCTGGGCAACGAGCCTCTCAGTCCCTTGGAAAAGATTCACACTTTTTCTGAATCCCCTGTTGTCGCCAGTGGAGTCACAGAACAGGTGTTCGGTAAACTCTCCCTGATCCTCCAAAGGCTTAACAATCCTACTCATTCACACATTTCTTTAACAAACATTTGTTGAGGACCTACTTTGTGCCAAAGGCTGGGTTAGTGTGAATAGAAAAGAGTCCTATGCCTGAAGAGGCTCAGAGTTTAATGCCAGGAAAACCTTATCTATTGCTTACTGAGTACCACCTAATGCACTACGCGTTGTGCGAGATGCTTGGTCTTCGTGGCTTCTAATTCCCATCAGAACCCTGTTAAAGTTCATCTAATTATACTCCTTCTGCTGCTGGGGACAATGCAGACAAACAAGACTGAATAACAGCCGGTATGGAGCAGAAGTAGGGCTTGTCCAACGAGCACGAGGGCCAAGCAGTAGGGCCGGCAGCCTTCAGCAAGCCTGTCTTCATGGGCGCCTGGGTGGCTCAGTCGGTTAAGCGTCTGCCTTCGGCTCAGGTCATAATCCCGGGGTCCTGGGATCAATCCCTGCATCTGGCTCCCTGCTTGGCGGGGAGTCTGCTTCTCCCTCTGCCTCTCCCCTTGGCTTGTGCTCTCTCACTCTCTCTCTCTCTCTCTCCCCCCCCCAAATAAATAAAATCTTAAAAAAAAAAGCCTGTCTTCGGGTATTTCCAAAAAAGTGCTTTCAATCTCATGTTCATACCCGATTCTCCCAACAACCCTGTGGAGCAGGGCAATCTCCTTTGTAAACAGGAGGGCACTGAAGGTCAGAAGGTCAGAAGGTCAGAGGGGTCTGAGTGATCTGTCAAGGTCATCTGGGATGGGCTCCTGGGCGTCTCCCTTCGCACTAGTGCTCTCTAGGCCACACCAGGGGCCTTCGGGATCCAGCCTGGCCAGACTGGGGTGGTTCAGGGTCTCTCTACCCAAGATCCAAGTACTCACAGGCCACTTGGAGGATGTGGGTGATCCTCTGGTCCTGGAGCAGGCCAGGGTGAGACACCACGCAGGTGAGGGGCTGCCCATTCATGCTGCGGCTGGGCACCAGGTGGAACTCTGAAGTGACAGCAGCTGAGCGGGAGTGCTTGAAGGAGCGGCTGGACGCTGTGCCCTTGACCTCCGTGTCCCAGGTCACGCTGGGGGCTGGGCTGCCCTCTGCCGTGCAGGAGGCTGCCAGCGTCAGGCCCTGGCCCTCTTCTAGCGCTGGCCCGGGGTTCAGTGAGGGCAGGGGAGGCACTGTAGGTGGTGGGAGGCAGGGGTCACGGTCAGCACACCCATCAGGAGGCCCTGCCCCGTCCCAGCTCAGTCTTGCACAGGCAAACATTTTCAGGCTCTTTTTTTTTCTCTTATTTCACCAACACAGGCACCAGATGAGTGGTAGAATTTCAGCCGACTTCGTACCTTTCTCTACTGTTTGATTTTTTTACCATGAGCATGGATCATTTTTTAATAAACATAATGAAGTAAATACAAAACCAACCAGACAACATCTATATCCTAATAATCATAGCCACCACCTATTAAGCACTTGCTACGAGCCAGGTATTGTGCTAAACACTTTACCAATGTGATTTCATTTAATCCTGTCAACAGACCAGCAAAGTAGGGATCATTACCCCTGAGTCACAAGAGAGGAAACTGAAGCTCGGGGAGGCTAAATGATTTGTCCCAGATCGTCAGCTCTAAAGGGGACGAAGTCTAGATTCACACTCAGGATTTTCACCCCCAAGGCTAGTGTTACTAAGTTCCACGTGGATAAAGGGAAACTAAAGGCCTTTATTTTTTATCTTCCTAACATGAACAGCTCAAGCACAGGATGGAAAAGTTTTAACTAGACCACAGGTCTAGGGCATCGGTGGACCATAAGAGCCCACAGTGCAAAGTAGTGGTTTACAAGTGATTGTGATCTCCAATCCAACCACATTCACCCAAGGTCCAGATCAAGAAAGGTATCAGCCTCGCTGGTCAGAGCTGGGTCTGCACGTCCATATCTCAGCCCCACATTTTTAAAACCATGGAGCCCAGGACTGCGAGAGAGGCTGTGAATGAGTGCTTTTGGTAGAACTGTAGCAGAAACTAGCACGTGTAGCTTCCAGAAGAGGAGATGGGGGTGGGGTGGGGAGAGGAACAACAAAGATCCTCAGCCCTTTGAAAGGCTGGGGTGCGGAAGACAGAATGAGCCTGGGCCACATGACTTCCGACGGCGAAAGTGACCAAGGTGGGGAGTGCAGGTCAACAGAAGGAAGAATATTCTAATACATGGATTCTTCCCCAAGGCTGACAGAGCTGTAGGGAGCAAGCTGTTGAGGTCACTTGCCGAGAATTTCTAGATTGGCTGGGAGGACGGGCTGGATGAGGATCCCTCACCCCTGCAGGAACCCCCTGCCCTCTTCTTCCCGCTCTTCCTCGGCCCCGTGCCTTTCTGCAGACCCCATCTCTGCGTCCCCCGGCTTCTGCCCTCGAAGGCGCGGGCGCGGACCTGGGGCCCCTAGGCACGCAGCCGCCCCCCCCCCCCCGACGACCCCGGGCTGCCCCACTTACCCAGCACGCGGAGCCGCAGCCGCGCCTGGAAGCTGCCGGCGGGGAAGGTGCTGACGCGGCACTCGTACTCGCCCTCGTCCGCCTGCACCGCGTTGCGCAGGAGCACCGCGCCGTCCAGGGGGCTCCGAGGGGGCGGCGGCTGCTCCACGCGGCCCTCGTAGGCCGCGCTCACGTGCAGCCCGTATTGGAAGTGCAGCAGCGCCAGCTCCCGGGGGCCCTCGCCCGCGTCCACCCGCGCCCACGCCACCTGCCCCACCTGCTCGCCGGGGTCCCCTCGGTAGAAGCAGGGCAGCTTGGCGTCCTGGCCCAGCACCACGGTCACCAGGTCCGAGGTCTCCAGCTCGCCTGGCCGGCACCGGCCTGCAGGGGGCGGACAAGAGCGGCCAAGATTAGGGGAGCCGCCGGACCGGGGGCGGGGGGGGGACACTTATGCGTGATGACAGCGAAGGCCACCAGAACTCCTGGAGCACTTTCTGCTTGCCAAGCGCGTTTCGTTCATTACCTCATTAGATCCACAAAACCTTCCCATGAGGTGGGCGTCATTATCAACTTTTTAACAGCTGAGGAAACTGAGACCCAGAGACAGGAAGTGATTTGCCTAAGGCCACTGGGTCGCTGGCGGCAAGAGTCACACCCCCTCCCAGCCCAGGATCCTGTCCTGGGCAATTGTGAGGTGGGAGGCTCTAACTGGAAGAGAGTTACCCAGCCTCTGCCCTCAGGGAGCTCACCGTCCTCTCCGGGAAATGGATTCTATGCGCCCAAAGACCAGGGAAGCCAGGGACAGGCTTTCACCGGAGGTCCAACCTACCACGGGGTGTGGGGGGTTGGGGCGGGGAAGTGACTGCTTTCAGGAGGTGTGGCCAGGAGCCAAGGCAGGGGTTGAAAACAGTTGGCGTCTAGGATGGGGCACGTAGTGTGGGAAGGGTCCATCCCAAGAGGCCCTTCAGAACTTTCTTTTCATGGCTTGAAGATGAGAGACCTGGATTCCCAGAGAGAAGAAGGTATTCTATGTGGGAGGAATGGCACGAACCAAGGCTCAGATACAGGAATGAGCAAGTCATTGAAGACAGAGAGGCCCCAGGCCAGAGGCCCGGAGAGGTGAGGTCAGGGCAGACACCCCGCGACAGGGTCAGGACGGGGAGCCCGAAGCCGAGGAGCCGAGACGGGCACCAGCGAGGAAGGGTGCATTGATGAGGAACAGTAACAAAGCACCCCGGGGTAGCTCTCACGTCACCTCATTTTCAAAGAAGGATCCCTTCCTTGCCCTCATGGAACCTGAGATCTGTTCAGGAGGAAGAAGTACATTTGCGGACAAATACAGAAAGGTGTGACAGTCTCGGATTTAGTGCTCAGTGGTGTGTTGCAGGCTAGCTGTGGGAAGGGACAGTTACTGGGAACCTGAGTTCTGTGGGAGGGCCTGAGGCGGGAGTTGGGTAGGACCAGGACGGGGAGAGACCCGGAGAGGGGTTCCAGGTGAGGGGCCAAGGTGGGCAAACCCAAGGGGTGAAGAGGTTGGTTGGTTCAGGAAGCAGAGAGGGAAGGGTACACCTAAGGCAGAGGGTGTGTGTTGAGCAGGAGTGGGACACGAGGTCGGGCCTCCCACACCAGGCAGAGGGAGTCATGGGGGATCACTGCAGCCGGGGGCCCGTGCGACATGCCCTCCAGCTAGAAAGCAGGGACCCTGAAGACCCGAGACTCACTAGGAACCCTTCGTGCTACAGCACCGGGGAGGAGGGGACAGCCCTGGGGGAGACTCAGCAGGATTTGATCACTGACCAGAAAGAGAGATGAAAGACAAAAGACAGGGGCGCCTGGGTGGCTCAGTTGTTAAGCGCCTTCGGCTCAGGTCATGATCCCATCCCCCACATGGGGCTCCCTGCTCAGCCGAGAGCCTGCTTCTCCCTCTCCCACTGCTCCTGCTTGTGTTCCCTCTCTCTCTCTCTCTCTCTCTCTGTCAAATAAATAAATAAAATCTTTTAAAAAAAAGAAAGAAAGACAAAAGACAAAGGCAAGTCCTGGGTTTCTAGGATGAGTAACTTAGGAAGGAGGCAGGGCTTGAGGAAGCTCAGGGTCGGGAAGAAATAAATGTGGAGCTGGGGAATAAAGCGTGGGAAGCACAGGGCTGGGGGCAGAGTGAGGGCTCTCCCCGGGATGGCAAGAGCTCGTTGCCTTGGAACGGACATCCAGCAACTCCCAGAAGTGCATGGGCCCTGCCTCTGACCAGCACCGCGCACACCTTGCTCACACTGTGCGCCTCCTGGAAGGCCCTCCTCCCTCTGTCTGGTAGCTCCTACTCATCACTGTCTGGGTAACTCCTACTCATCCTTCAGGACTCCGCTTAGACATCACTTCCTCCCGGAGTCCTCCCTTCCCCACCCCCACCCCCACCTCGGGCAGCGTGAGGTGCCCTCCCCTGTTCTGCCCTAGCGCCCTGCTCTCACCTCACCATTGTACTTTTTCCCCCGGATGGTGTTCGCCCTTTTCTTGTCTGCCTCTCTCACCGGACAGAGCTCCCCGAGAGTAGAAACTGGGTCTCACATCACATAGGGAAACCTGGTTTCTGATTTAGTGCTCAGTGACACATTTAGTGCTCATGCCACATTCTTGGCATGTAACAGGTGCCCGATTAATTTTATTGACTGACTGAATGAATGAGAGCAAGAGAGAGAGAGGGGTAGAAGAAGGAAAGGGTAGAAGGAAGAGGAATGAATCTTTGGTTGGGCTGGGCGGACAAGGAGGGGGTTGGCATGGCAACCAGGGGTGGAGGCAGGCTAGGCTGGCTACCTGGGTTCGCTGCCAAAGGGAGCAGCTCTGGACTCACATAGGGAGAAAGAAGTGGGCGGAGGGGGCAGTTATGGAGGGAGAAGGTGAAGCCCCACTAGAGTGGACCAGAGGGTTCCAGTGAGGCAGAGCCCGGGCCAGGGGGAGAGGGTCCCATGGCCCTGCTAGCAGGGGTGGAGGGAGGGAGGATGCTGTTGGGAGGACCCGAACAGGACGGGACAGACCTGCAGGGCCAGATACCAGGGCCCTGACCTGCCTAAGCTGGTCTTGGTCCCACCCAGCCCAGCCTGGGAGTCCAGCTAACTCCCCGTGCCCCTCCCAGACACCTCCTCCCGGCGCTGGAGGGTGCAGGGCTGCCAAGGAGGGGCTGGAGGTGGGCTTGAGATAGGGGCTCATCCCCCAGCACATGGTGTCTGTGGTCCCATGGATCCCAAGCCCTGCTCCACCAGGACGCTCAAACCTTCCTAAAGACTATTTCTGAGACAATGTCAGATGGCATATTTTCCTTCCCTATCCCTACACTTGCCAACCATCTGCCTCTCTCCACAACTAGTCACCCACGTTTTCCCCAACATATACCTTTTCCAGGGCACAACAGGCATATATATGCCTGAGTCACAATCCTCCACGTCCCTCCCTGTGGGTGCAAGAACCCCACTCCCCAGTGATAAGCCCAAGCTTTGCGGGATGAGGTACCCAGGAAAACAGGAGAGTCCCTTCAGGACCTCTCCCACAGCCCCCCACTGTCCTAAATCCACTATTCAGCGGGAGCATCTCAGCGGGAGCATCTCAGCTGGGGGCAACACCCTCCTCCAGTTCATGCACACACACGCGCGCGCGCACACACACACACATGCACGCGCGCGCACACACATGCACGCACATGCGCACACACACACACATGCACGCGCGCACACACACGCATGCATGCACCGGCTACAACGGAAGGAAGAGAGAACTTGGGCTCTAGAATCCCGGTCCTGGGCTAACTGGACCCAGAAGCCCAGACTTCCAGGCCAGGGCAGGCCAGGACCGCCTCCTCCTCCTCTCCCCCACCCGGTGCCCGCCCGGCGTCAGCCTGATGATGTCACCAGAGCAAAGGAGACACACCGCCTGCCTGGTGAGGTCACCCCGCGGGCATGTAGTTGCCAGGCCAGGCCAAGCCCACGGACCCTTCCGCAGCCCACTGTTTGCTGAGGCCGGCGGACTCTGCTGGCTGGGCGCTCCTCCCCCCGTCCGTGCCCACCCCTCCTCCCGGGAGCACGGGGACGCTGGTCCGGAGCCGCGGTGATTCAGAGGCTGCCACACAGCAGCAGGCCTAGCCACAGCCGCCACAGCCGCCACCAGCCACCACCTTGCGCAAGGGAAAGAACAGGCCCAACTGGCCAGACGGGATCCCTGCCCTCAGCCTCCCCCACCCCTGGCCAGGCCCCCACGGGCCTCTTTGGGGCCCTGCCCTCTGTGTACCCCGCCCGCTCCCAGACAGGCCCTCCACTCCTGGCCTGGGTTGGCTGCCTTGCTCCCTACGCCGGGCCTGGGTCCCAGCTTCCCTCTCTGGGTGAGGCCCGGCCTCTGATCTCAGGAGGGGACACTGAGGCTGGCAGCCACAGATCACAGCGTCTTTGGGGAAGGAGGCTTTTCTTTATGAGGGGCCTTTCTCCATCAGTATCCCTGCTGGTGCAGATAGGGGCACACGCAGAGGTCCTGGAGGAGGGTCTGTGAGGAGGAGGAAGGGAGTCAGTGTGAGCCTCCACGTCTGAATGTGTGACATCTTCGGGGGAGGGCCTGGCGGGTCTCAGTGCTGGGCTCACAAGGGAGGCCAGCTCCGTGCTTCAACTGGGGAGTGTTTCGCACTTGTATGTGCTCTTGGTCTCATCTTTAGGGAAGTGTGGGTGCTTGTTGGTGGCGGGAGAGAGGAGCCGTGCAGTGGCGCATGCGTGTGAACGTGTGTGCAGACGCTATTCCGTGTGCGTCTCACAAGTCTGCACGCACGGGGCACGTCCCTGGCCCGCGCGAGTCTGAATGCAGAATAAATATTTTGATGTCGGTTTCTCCTGGGGCTGCTGCATGTCTGTCTGTCTTAGCTGCCCTTGGTGTGTGGCTCTGCACCTTGGCCTCTGCGTCCCAGCTGGAGTGTCGCCAGGCGCCCCTCCCCACCTCACCCCAGACTTGAGGGCAGATTCATCTCAGGTGGAGGTAGGTACCCAGAGATGAGGTCACTGTCCCTCCAGGTGATGGGAAATTGCCATCCAGGGCTCCCCAGCAGAACAAAACAAAAGCTCACCCTACCCTTGCTCCTCAGGTTCCTGCTAGAAGGACTCCCACCCTTCTCACCACTCCCCCCGGGAGCCCCCCCAGCCCCTCTGGCCCCCCAGGAGGCCTCTCCCTGGGAATCTGTCAGGCCTCTGCTGCAGCCAGCACCAGAAAAACCAGCTCTAGCTCCAGGCCTGGGGTGAGGGTTGTCTGGTGTGGGTTTGGTGGGAAGGGGGGGGGGTCTTGCCTAGGGCTAAGGGGAGGGGTCCAAACTGTCGGGGGGGGGGCTCATTCTCCTTTGTTAACTCTTGCCCCCCCTCACCACACAGCAACGGCCTCTACCAGACAGAGCTAGAATATGGGGGAGAGTCTGGGGTAAGAGAGGACCTGGGAGGAGCCCCGAAGCCCCCCAAATGGGACAGGTGGCATCAACAACCGGCGAGCCCGTTTTCTTTCCCCCTTCCCCCCCACAACCTTGGCCTTGGAGTGCTAAGGAACTCTGAAAACCAGGAGATTTTCCCTCTGCCTTCATCCCCATCCCTCACTTAGCCCCCATTGTCCTAAGCCCCCCGGCTTAGTGAGAGCTTCCCAACCCGGGCAAAGTGCCCACCCACAGATTAGTGTCTGGGGAGGGGGGCCATACCAATCCCAAAGGGAGGCGAGAACAATGCAGGAGGACAGGCCTTGAGGCAGCCCGGCTCTGGCCCAGACACAGCTCCCAGCACAGATAAGTCCCCTAAACCCCCCGGAGCCAGAGTCTGAGCCCGGCTGAGTCACCACAACAGCCACACTGTGGGTGGGAGACCCGGCATTCAGCTTCTCCCAAACTCCTGAGATCCTAGCCACCCCTACCCCGAAATCCTGCCAGCCAACCCCGCCAGTGGGGCCAGCTGTGCCCCACCCCAGATCATCGCCTCAGCCCAGCTCTCAGGACACACCAGTCTTAAAGGCAAGCAGGAAGGGGGTGGCCAGCAATCTAGGGGAAAAGCTCCTGAGGCCAGAAGCTCCCAGGCCCAGTGAGACAGATGACCCCACCTCCTTCACAGGCCCCCAGGTCTGAACTTGACCTTCGACCTTCGTGTTAGATTCAGTGTTCAGATCCAGCCCTGGCTCCTCTCCTGCCTTCCCTCCTGACTCAGCTCCTCACCCCACTCCCAGCCCTTCTCTCTGCTAGCCCGTGGTCAGTGCTAGGGGAAGTTGTGGGGGCCAGAAAGTGCCCGCCTCCTTCCCTCACGAGGCCTGCTCCCTACAGTGGCTGTCCTCCTCAGCCTAGAGGGCTCCAGGGCCCCGACATGGTGTGCTAGAAGCTGGGACCATGGGCTCTGCGGCAAACCCCCCACTGCTATCTCTGTAGCGAGGGTCCCCTTAGGCCAGCCCCCCTGAAACACTAGGTTGGGGCCAAGGTCACTGGGGCCACAGGGCTTCCCTGAGATTCCCCTAGTCCCCGCTACCTTGGGTGGGGAATATGCCTCCCTTTCTGGCTTCCCTGGGTTGGGGTAGGTCCTGCAGGAGAGGGCCTGCCCCCCTCTATAAACAGGAGTAGAAAAGGAGGGATGGGGCCCCTCCCTTTCTAGGGAACCAACCTCAGGTAGAAAGCTGATCCTAATCCTTAGAGGGCAGACCACAGAATTCAGGGAAGCCCTCACCCTCTGGTCCTACAGGACCCAGTTGGGCCCAGACAAAGAGCTAGAAACTAGCATCCTACTGGAGGGGTGCCTGTAGATTTGGGCCCCTCGGCCCTGGGGCAGGAGATGGGGGAGGGAGAAGGGAGGGGACCTCACCCGGAAACTCATCCCATTAAGAAGAGACAAAGAGCTGTGGTGTCAGGAGCCTCCCAAGCCTGGGCTCCTCTCCCTATTGGGGTGGGGCAGGGCCCTGGGGCTCAGAGCTCTAATGGCCCAGGAGTTGGGGGGGCGGTGCTCTGATTTGCAGCAGGGCAGGGGCAGAAGGCAGCATCCAGGATACAGCCACCCTTGGTCCCCGCTGAGAGATGGGTCAGGACATTTCCCCTGGCGTCACCACAGCCAGCCTCACCTCCTCCAGCAGCCCCCCCCCCCCCAGGGGCTGGACAGTCACAGAGCCATAGGACTGCAGAGCTGGAAGGCCCGTGGAGACCGTCAGGTCTTACCTCCTGGTCTGCTGAAGTTCACCCTCTTAGCTGCCCAAGGTCACCTAGCAAATTCATAGCGGAAATGGGGCCAGAACGCAAGACTCCTGACTGCCAGCCCAAGGCTTTTTCAGAGACAGGAAATAGTCCTGCTTCCCGGGGGGTTACACACAGTGGAGCCAGAATGGGGTGGCAGTGGAGGTGGGCATCAGGCTGGGAAGCTGATGTTGGGAACCAAGCTCCAGGCTTCAGAGCACCCTCCAGCTCTGCACAGGTCCTAAGCAGCTGCAGCAGAGTGGTGGCTCACTGGGTACCGGCCACCTGGGATAAGCCTGGGGCCAGGGTACCCCCGAAGCCACAGCACCTGTCCATCAGGCAGTGGGCAAGGTCAGGGTGATGCCCTGATTACAAGAGGTCTGCTCTCCCCTTCCCTGGGCTTCTCTTAGCAAGAACAGTTTTGTGTCCTGGAAAAAGAAGGCGGGGACCATGTCTTGTCCCCACTGCGTCTCCAGCACCTAGTACCCCAGCTGCACCCAGTGTGCACCCAGATGTGCGAGCCTTTAATGGGCAAGGGGTTGGGAGACCAAGACACTAACCCTGGTCATACTTCTAACACTAGTAATCCGTTTTTTTGTTTTGTTTTGTTTTGTTTTTGAGGGAGAGAGAGAGAGAGAGTGTGTGTGAGCAGTGGGTGGGGGACGGGCAGAGGGAGAGAGAGAATCTTAAGCAGACTCCATGCCCAGCGCCAGCCCAATGCAGAGCCCAACACGGGCCTCAATCCCACGACCCTGAGATCATGACCTGAGCTGAAATCAAGAGCCTGACGCTCAACCGGCTGAGCCGTCCAGATGCCCCTAACATGGAGTAATCTTAAGACGTCACTTGCCTACCTATTTCTCTCAGTTTTCCCATCTGGAAAATGAGGCAGTTAGAGTGGTGACCTCTCTGATCCCTTCCATGTCCTGAGACCCCATGGCTCCGTCCTTCAGGGGTGGGTAGGTCCCACAGAAAAGTGGCTGCCAAGTAAGTTCCCTGGCCCCAGGGACAAGACCCCACCCTCTGGGCCTGAGCACGTGAGGAGGGTTGTCTGGAAAATGGGAATTAAGACAGGGGTGAGAGGCAGGGGTTGGAGCTCAGTATCCTGTGATTGGAGACCGGCCAACGACCCTTCCGTCCCTTCCATTGTAAGCTCAGCGCAAAAGCGATGCCCACCCACCCACACATCTATGCCTCATTCTCCCCACAGCTTCAGCTGGGGACAGAGTAGGGAGTCACTGCTGGGCGCTGCCGGACAATGAGACTCCCTTGCAACTGCACCTGGGCCGATCTAGGTAGGGCTCTGTCTTCCAAGGACCAGGATTCCTCAGTTATTCTTTACCTTGGAAACAGCCTAGGGAATCCCACTGTGGCCTCACCGTGCACACACACGCATAGACACACACACACACTCTCTCTCTCTCTCTCTCTCTCTCTCCCCCCCACTCCGAAGATTATAAATTCCTGTAATTTATATGCACTAGGCAAGAGCAACATAAGGCATCTAGTCGAGGAAATAAGGCGACAGGGAATAAACAAAAGGAGGCTGCACCCTATCTAGAAAGTACCCTACCCTAGACCCCCACTCATCTAAGTATTGCGCCCACCTGACCACCCTGGCATTTAACAGTGTGCCCAGGGAAAGAGAGGGACCAGAGTGAAGGAGCTTCCAGCTCGCCAGTTGTCTCCCAGCAGGGGCTCTGACCTCTAGGACATCATGGAGAGGAGAGAAAGAAACAGGAATGCCCTGTCCACTCTCTGGGGCATCAGGCTTCCTACACCCTGATGACTGCTAAAACCAGCTCAGCCCTGAGTCAGCCCAGCGCCAGTCAGCAGTTTTGGAGCCTGGGGGGGTGGGGGGGCAGGCGAAGGAGCCTCCAGGAAGCCCTGGGGTGAGAGGGTCCCTGCCTGTGCCGCCACCCCCCCCTCCCGCCCACCGGTCCGGGGCCAGCCCGTCTCTCCCCCCGGAGGCAGCTCTGGCTTAGGCAAAGCGATGGCAGAGGTGGTTGGGGACCCCAGACATAGTGACATGGCCCGGGGCAGAAAGAGGTCACGAAGGAGGAAGAGTGACCCCGGCTCTCGTGGGGGCACTCCTGGCAGGGGGAGTGGGAGAGAGAGATCGGTTCCTCAGTCCAGAGTCAAAGGAAAGAGAATGTTTCTGTGTGCGCGCGTTAGTGCGGGTGTGCGTGCGCGTGCGCTCGCTGGCTTGGCCTCAGACACAGGGGTCCTGACGGTCCGGCCGAGTCCTACCTGTAAATGATGCCAGCAGCAGCAGTAGCAGCAGGGCCTCGGGCCCCCACATCTCGGCTCCCAGGGACAGGGCCATCGGTCGGAAGGCAGAGCTGCCCAGTGGTTCTGAAGTTCCACCGAGTTCTCCCTGGGAGCCGGCTGTAGAGCTGGAGAGGGCACCGACCCAGGAGGCAGGAGATCACCGAGTCCACCTGCCTGTCCCTCTGGGGGTCTCTGCTGGGGACCCAGCCCCGCTCTGCCCACCCAGCTTGAGCTGCCCCCAAAAAGCCGTGGTCGGGAGCTCCGAGCTCCCCCAGAGCTGCTTCCCACGCCGTGGCCAACGACGACGGCGGCAGAAACCTGGGAACCTGCTCAGCAGGTCAGAACAGGTGCGTCTCCGGGGGTGGGGCCTGGCACGGAGACTCAGCAGCCACCGCCCCCACGGCCTGGGCTAGCTAATGGGCGCCACGGAGGGAGGGAGGGAGGGAGGGAAGGACCTGGCGGTGGGTGGGGGGGATCCCATTGTCAGCTCCAGGCTTTACCTGGCAGCATGGAAGGGGCTGGGAAGGGAGAGGCAAGGTGTGTGTGTGGGGGGGGGGGCGGGGTAGAAGAAGGCCCAGGGTGGCTCAAAGAGGGAGGCACCAGGCCAGGAGGAACAGGGGCAAGGCCCTTGTGGGTGGAAAGGAACCCAAGCATCCCGCACCCTAACTAGCCTTGCTGCCTCCCCAGGGCCTTGCCAAGTTCCCCAATCTCCTGGAGGGGCTCAGCTTTGATGCTGAGAATCAGAGAAGCCGGGAACTGAGAAGTACAGTATTGGCCCATAGACCTCATTCTCCAGATGAGAAAAGGGGCCCAGAGAGGGGAATGGGCTTGCTGGAGGACACACAAGCTTCGATAGTAACACGGTTTTCTTGGACATCTCTATCTCTGAGACAGGGATCTAGTTCAAAGACCCCGGAGAAGGAGCTTAAGTGACGCCCTCCTGGGTCCCATCATCCGCAGGAGAAGCCAAAGGACTGATGGAGAAATTAGCCCCGCAGACTCCTGGCCTCCCTAGAGGGACCCTCTCTCAGCTTCAACACCTCCCTGTTACCCGGCCAGGAATCCCCAAAGTGCATCAGCACCAACTCTCCGTGGTTCATTTTACCCTTTTATGCCACGGTCATGGGACGAGAGCACATGCCTGGACTTTGCAAGGGTAATCTTCATTTCAAATACTCTGTCCTCGTATCCTTGTAAGTATACTCACACTCGTAGGACCATGTGCATAAAATGTCACCACCAAGTCACACAAAACCTTCCTCGCCAATCTGGGGTAGCCAGAGGAAGGGAGCAAGCTCTGAACTCTCTGAAAACTGGGGAGGGGAGGGACAAGCTCACTGACAGACTGGGGCTAAAAAAAAACAAAAAACAGGTAAGGGGTGCCTGGGTGGCTCAGTCGTTAAGCGTCTGCCTTCGGCTCAGGTCATGATCCCAGGGTCCTGGGATCAAGCCCTGCACCGGGCTCCCTGCTCAGTGGGAAGCCTGCTTCTCCCTCTCCCACTCCCCCTGCTTGTGTTCCCTCTCTCACTGTGTCTCTCTCTGTCAAATAAATAAATAAAATCTTTAAAAAAACAAACAGGTAAATATGGAGTGAAACCTGAGAAAAGGAAATATAGGTTAAGCTTTGCAGCAGAACTCTTTTGTGTGGCCAGAGGCAGGAAGGAGGACTCGAGAGCAGTAAGGGAGGGTCATCTTGTGTAGACTATTTCTCACACCCCACAGCCCACACCCCCAACTCTGTCAAAATCGCATTCATCTTTCAAAGCTGACCTCAGATGCCACATCTTCCACGAAGCTTTCTCAGCTCCTCCCACCCAAAATGAATCTTTCTCCCTCTGTTCTTCCCCAGCCTCTGCTAGTCCCTTTATTATAGCTTATGTACCATAATTTGTGCACATCTTATCTCCTTACCTAAATGTAAGCTTCAGTTCACAAAGCATGGATTGGAGCCTGCTGCGTGCCAGGGACCCAGCAAATGTGTGAAGCTGAGGGACAGGACCAGAGCTGGGGTCTGTGAACTCCTGGAACCGTCAGGCTTGTTTAATGACCTCGTCTCCGTCACCCCTGCTAGGTCAGCCCGCGGCACTTAGTGGGCACTGAACACACTTTTGCCGAAGGCATGAATTGGTGAGTGAATGGACGTCAGTATGGAAAGGGTGGTCCAGGAGGGTCAGTAAAGGGGGGATCCCGACTCCCCTGGTCCTGGGCCGTCCCCCGGACCCTCACCCTGCCTCTGGACCATGACCCCCTACTCTGGTCTAGATCCAACTCTTGGCAGTGACTGTGCTCGTAACCTCTTCTTTGAGGGCTATTTCCAGCGGGTCAGGGGTGGCCTCAAGGGCCAGGCCAGATGCCCAAACTCCCCAGTTTCTCTCCACCTCCACCTTGGCAAACCCCTTCCCTTCCTTAGGTCCCCGCCTGTGCCAGAAGGGCAGCCTCACCCCGATGCCGCTTTGAGATCCGCTGCGGCAGGGGTGGAGTAGGGCCAGGGGGGATGGGAGGGGGGAGCATCCCGTGTTATAATTATAATTATCACACCTTGGATCCTATCGCATGGTTTCAGAGGAGCTCCTTTCCTTCCCACGGATTCACCCCTCCTGGTCCAGGAAACCAGAGGAGAAACTGAGGCATGGGGGTGGGACAGCAGTTAGGCCACGGGGTGGGCATCCAGCGCCTGTATCCCCTCCACCTTCCCATTCACAGTATACGCCCACCCCTCCACAGTGCCACCGGCCAGGAAGTCTGTGAGCCCCTCCATCACTCACCCCTACTCCGCCATTTGGGGCGCTGAGGGGAGGCGGGACTTGCCAGAGCTGGTGTTGTGGCCAGGCCGTGCCCGGTGCAGTCAGGCCGTGCCCGGTGCAGTCAGGCCAGGCGGCCACCCCTGGCCTTGGTCTGAGGTAGGAGTCTGGCCCCCCCTCATCTAACAAATACCCATCTCCAACTTACTCTCCGCCCTGTGCCCTCACCCTTGTGCATCTCACGAGGGCCATGCTCTTGGGGGAACAGGCCGTCACGCTTAGGCTTTTCCTTCCCTCCTCTGGGATGAGGCCTGGGGAGAGGCAGATGCCAGGGCTGGGGCTGGAAGAAAATCCTGGCTGGGGAAGACCTAGACCAGTGCCTGGTTTCCTGGGTTCTGTTCTTTCTTCCTCATGGAGCCCCCATTCCCCTGGTGCCTCACTGCCTCCCCTCCCCCCACCCAGATTCTGGGCCCTACGAATGGGAGCAATTCAAGCCCAGGTGGCATCTTCAGCGCGTGTACCCGCCTGAGTGGCATCACCGTGCGTGCCTGCCTGCCTTAGTTTACTCACAGACACTTCGTGAGCACCACTTTGGGGTAGGCTCCGGGGAGGGGATGGGGACACCGAACATGGGGTCCCTGTGCCCTCCGGGAACCCTCAGTTAGGAGAGCTGGGACGCAGAAACTTAAGGACGCTGTGGTCCACCAACCTGTGTTGCCCTCACGTCTCTGTGCACCTGCCGCATCCAGATTCGGCGCTGTTCCTGCGAGTACAACTGCAGACGTTCTCAATCTGCTTGTGTCCAAGCATCTGCTTACGACTCACCTCTGTCCCCATGGCAGGCTGTGCACCTGAGCCAAACCGGTCCGAGTGGGTTGTGCTGAAAGTTTTGTTTGTGTCAGTGGGACTTGGAGGTGAGTCAGGGAGGGACAAGGAGGGGTGGGGTGGGGCGGTGAGGAGAGTGAGAGAGAGGGTCAGGCCGAGTGGGGAGGGGGAGCTGGTCAAGGCGGGGATGGGTTGGGCTGGGGGGCGGTCAGCAGGACGGGCTGGGGCGGGAGCAAACCAGAGAGCTCCTTAATGAGTAATATCCCTCTTCGCGGTGAGATCCCAGGTCAGAGAAGAGTCGGAGGCTTGGGGGCGGGGGCAGGGGAGACCCTCGGGCTTTGGGAGAGACGAGAGTGCATTATAAATCGGTGGGACTAGGTAGAAGCCTGGTGTGGACAGAATGTCTGCCACCCACTTCGACCCGGCTGTGTTTCTCCGCGTGAGAGGAAGCTATTTCTGATCTGCTCGTTGCCTTGGTTTCTACAGTTTGTACAGAAAGGCTTTGGGGGTGCTGATCGACGTTGTGGTGGAAGATTGCTGATAAGGAATTGGATGCTGTCCCCCAGGACCAAGGCGTAAAGCTCCTTAAAGCTCCTGAAGCTCCTCCTCCTCTGCTCCTTCCTAGGATGCCCCCCACATGCAGAGATCCCCATGCGGAGCATGGGTTCCAGCAGCTTCTCCTCCACTGAAAAACACCTTTGCCCCCTGGGGCTGGAGCCACTGTGCCCAGTATTAGGATGGTGGCACCCTGTTTTCCGAGAGATTGCATCTGAAGGTTCCATCTGACACGTGCTGTGCTGTTCCTATCTCCCTGTGCTGCAGGCCCAGTGACGCCCAGGGACGCCCAGTCCCCGGCCCCATTCCTTCATGGCAACCACACTTCCTGGTTGCCTCCCAACACCCCTTGGAGCTCAGGTGGCTGGAGCTGCTTGTTCCTAAAGGGGTCTACAGCTGGAGTGACCCACCCGGGGAAGATGGCTCAGCAAAAGCCACGCGCGGGCCCTTTTCCCCAGAAGGCTGTTGGGGGCAGAATCCCCTCCTCCTTGCTCTCACCCCCTAGGCTCCCCAGGCATCCATCTGCAAATACAGGACCAACTCAGGGCCCGGGGCCTGGGATAAGAGACAGATGCCTTTATTCTTTGACCCTGTGTCTCTGGATGGGCTGGCACTTTTAGAAGGCTCCAGAAATAGGTCGTGGCAGGTCTAGCAGGAGAGCGGGAGCCCTCATGGAAATCAGTCTTCCAAGCGGGGACGGTGGCAGGGGGGGGGGGGGGGGTACAGCAGCAGGGAGGGGGAGGAGCAAAGGCAAGCAGGGTCCTGGGCGCTGGGCAAGAGAACAGATTCTAGTGAGGATCCCAAGCTGTGCCCCCCTGCCCTCTCCCAGTCTCCGTCCCAACCACACAAGGCACCAGGCTCCTCCCAGGAAGCCCACCTGTGGGGAGACATGGAGGCAGCCCCCAGGGCCCAGGTGGCCTGCAGAGCCCGCACCACCAGAGGCGCCTTCAGGAAGCACCAGGCCTTTGGAGTTTCTCACACTCATCCAAACATTCAGCTTGGATGTGGAGGGTATGCCGCCTCTGCCAACCAAAGACAGCCGCTTCCTGGCCATCGCCTGAGCTCCCGTCACCCCCGACTCAGCTGCCCCGGCCTGTGGCAGGAGGCAGGGGAGCCAGCCCAGCAGGGCAGGCCCCGGGCTCCCCTCCTGAGCATCTCCCCACACCGGCCCCAAAAGGCACTGCAGGCCTTCCTTGCAGGGAGCCCTAGTCGCTGCCCTCCAGCATCACCTCGAAGCATTTTTGAGCCTGTTTCTCTTTCAGTTCTAGAAGTGGTGTAAAAAAAGAAGGGCTAGGAAGCAAGAAAGAGAGAGTTCTTTCCTGTGATAGTTTGCAGGAGCAGGGAGCACTGGTCCATGGACTGGAAGGAAAGGGTAGAGGAGCAGAGATGAGTCTAACTCCCCCTGCTAGCCTGCTTCCCTCCTGGGCCCAGGCCTCCACGCTCTAAGGTCTGCTCTGGGGAAATCCTACTCCCTGGAAAGGGCCCATATGCTGCAGCTCACTCAGGTCCTCGTCAGGAACTGATACCCTAGGACAGTGCCCGGGGACAGGCTCCGGGCTACAGTGCAGCCAAAGGGGAGAAGCCTGGCCACTCCTGGAAGGTTCCAAAGCTCCTTGCAGCAAAGTCAGAGTGCTGGCTCTGTTCAGCAGGACAGAGGGCGAGAGAGAGCAGGGCAGACTGAGAAACACAAAAAGTAGAACTGGTGAGAGACAGGTCTCAGGGCACACGGAGACAGGCAGACACCTAGAGAAGGAAAGGGGTAGGGTGAGAAATAGACACACACGGAGGGATGAGGAGGAGTAATTCAAAGAGACAAAGAAGCTGAGACAAAGTCTGCAACAGAGACAGAAAGACCTGAAGAGAAATTTCTGAACACCTCCTGGCCCACTGCTGCGCCTTCCGCCTACTTCCCTCTCCTGCTCTCCACTCCAACCACTCAGCATGGGCCCAACGACATTCTCCTACTCCGTATCACCAAGTCCCTTAACAATTCAAGTTTTCCCGCATCCTTAGCCCACCTCCCCCCACCCCCACGCTGCCTGATTGCCTCTCCGGCCCACCTTGTCTGCTCTGAGGCCCGACACTCCCTCACACCCCTTCCTGCTCACGTCTCAACCGAGCGAGAGCTCTCACCGCCCGCTCTGGTCCTGGCCGTTCCTCTGTCCTTCTGTTCATCCATGTCCTTATTCCGGCTGAACCAAGAGCAAAGGGCCAGCATTAGGGCCAGGAAGGCATGGGGCCAGGCAGTCAACTGGCCAGAAGGAGCTGGGGAAAAACGCAGAAGGTCAGAGGACAACAGAGGAGGAGCCAGGGAGGGTGGGACAGCCTGGGGGACACAGGCAGAGGGGCGGAGAACGCCTCCAGCCGCTGTGCCCGGAACAGTGCTGAGAACCAGGGATGGCTCCAGGGTCAGAGTGAAGCTAAGGGAAGGAGAAAACAGAGTTGAGAGTTCTGTGAAGGGTTGAGACGAGCAGGTAGCGGTCTGGGGCTGGGACAGACATCTGAGACCGGGAGGCTGGGCTCTAGGCACCCTTGCTCACCAGAAATGGCCACCAGAGGGCCCTGTCAGGGCTGGGAGACGTTCAGGATGACCTGGCCCCCAGCCCCGCTCCTGCACAGGGGTTGTCCCTGGATATTATTAGCAGGGGAAAGCAGGGCCAGAAAAGGAGCCCTTCTGGCTGCTCTTCTCCTATTCTCACACAGTCCCCTTTCAGGGCTACCCTTCACTCTATCTTAATGCCCCTTAGTTTCTGGAACACGGACAGGGCCGTCACAGACCACTTTAGATGCTGCTCCGGGGCATAAAGCACATGCCACACAAAGGCAGACTGCCTTCTCCAAGATTTGGGCTCGATTCCAACCAACCAGAGGAGGTAGGAGTCCTAAGCAGCTCCTCCCCTGGGTCTATGTAACGGAAACACCTCCAGCTACTAGATGGGACTGGAGGGGGCATGGCCAAGGAGTATGTGAGGTTCAGGTTCTACATCCAAGGGAAATGCAAACTAGCGAGGACACAGAGTCAGAGTGGAAGCTGGGAAAGGGAACACTGAGCTGTGGGAGAAAAGCCGGAGAGGCCCCTGGGGTGGGGAGTTCCCTGTTCTACCCAGGAGAGGCGGAAAATGAGTCTATCCTGGGGCACCTGGCTGGCTCAGTCAGCAGAACATGTGACTCTTGATCTCGGGGTTGTGGGTTCGAGCCCCACGTTGGGTGTAGAGGTTACTTTGAAAAAATAAAAACTCTGGGGGAAAAAAAGAAAGAAAATGAGTCTGGCAAAATGTGCATATAGGCCACCAAGGGCCACCCCCCCAGACAACTCCTTGCCTAAACCCTGGGAGTATGATAGATCTTGAGTCCAGCTGTTAGGAGCCTAGCCAGTCAGAGAAGTCTTGGGGAGAAGGCTGGCTTTCGGATTTCAGTCAGGGACATTAGAAGTTGGTGATATGGGGGGCACCTGGGTGGCTCAGTTGGTTAAGCGTCTGACTCTTGGTTTGGGCTCGGGTCATGATCAGAAGGTCGTGAGAGGGAGGCCCGTGTCAGGCTCTGCACTCAGTGAGGAGTCAGCTTCAGATTCTCTCTCCCATCCCCTCTGCCCCTCCTCCCACTCGTGCTGTCTCTCAAATAAATAAATAAATCTTAAAAAAAAAAAAAAAAGTTGGTGATTTTTTAGAGATTTTGTTTCCATGATCTGGGAAAACTGAGGATCCTCTCTGTTAGACCTCGCAGACCCTGGGAAATCTGGAAATGAGTGGGCAGAGACTTTCAAAGCTCTTACTGGATCTCGGCCTCAGGAACAAGTGGGAAACAGGTCTTGTGACCCTCCGGTCTCTCTGCGCCTTCCTGCCCACACTCTCTCCATGCTGTTTTCTCTGAGGACCAAAGGTTCAGGTCAGGGGGCCTATGCCATCAGACCCCTGTATTACACGTTCCTCCCCACTGCAGCCCTGGTCGTTCTCTATGCCTCCATTCCTGGGGCATGATGGGGAATTAGCTGATGTGTAGAAACCAAAGGCAAAAGTAGCAGCCATCACTCCCCTTCGCAGCCCGGCACTGGGGACACACGTCCTGTTTCTGTCCCACACTCTGTTTCTGCAGAGTAGAAATCTGTCTGCATTTCCTCCCGTAGCCAAAATTAGTCAGCTTGGATCTGGGCCTCTTCATTCTTCACTGGGTCCTGGAGGGACAGAGTTGGGAAGAGGCTCAGGGACTTGGCTTGAATAAAAGGGAGATACCAGGGAGGGGCGGGAGTCTGTTTTTCTCCCTCCTCCCCTACTACACCCCCATCCAGCTTCTAAGGCTGGGCAGCTTCTGCCCTGGATCTTATCAGGAGAAACTCCCTGCCCTTCATCTCCAGTTCCAGATGCCACCGTCCCGCAGTTTCCTTGCATTGTATCAGCCTAAGAGGCAAGCTGAAATAAGGAATTATCCTTCCCAGGACTCAGTAGTGAAAAGTTCTCCAAGGCTTAAGCATTTTCCCTCACCGCCCCCCAACCCAACCCCCCCCTCCCCCTCTCTATGTGCCCTGAGAGGCAAGCTCTACCACCCTCTAGTGGCCAGAGCAGAAAGGACGCTCCCAGCCGATCCACCAGGACCGCCAAGGCTCTAGCAGGGAACGTCTTCTGAAAGACACAGCACAGTTTATAAATGAGAAAGCCGAGGAGGCCTACAGAGACTCACCCTGAGAGTCAGGGGCACGGTTGGGACCAGAACCCAGGTCTCCTGACTCCCAGGCCAGTGCTTGGGCCCCGTTCCCGGCCTCCCCCTCTGACTCACCCCTGGGGAGGGCAGGGGGATTTGGAAACGGGTGTCCCCCCTGCCCCTGCAGAGCCACGCCTGTACCTCAAATCCGCTCGCAGCTTTGATAACAGGGGTCCTTCTGGGGCCCTGGCTGCCCTCCGACTTCCAGGATTGTTCTGGACCTCGCCCAGCTGCCGTCGCCACGGTGACAGCACCGTCCATTCCCGCAGCTACCCAGGTCTCCTGTCTCCACGGTAACCGGTGCTTTGCGACCTTCACTTTGCAGCGGTCGCGCTGCCGGTGCAGCGGCAGTTGCTGGGCGACGGCAGCGGGAGGCAGGGACTCGGGAAGCTCCGGGGGTAGGGGGGGGTGCGGGGCGGTGCCATGGCGCTGGCGGGGCCCCCGGGGGGCGCGGGCTGGACCTGGCGGCCGGTGGCTCGGGACGCGCTCCTGGCGCGGGCCTTCCACTCCTGCACTGAGCTGCGGGGCCGCTTCTACCTGGTGGGGGGCCTCCCGGCCGGAGGGGCAACAGAGCCGAGCGGCGATACGGTGGTCTTCGACCCGGCCGCGGGCCGGGCGGTGCAGATGGGCGCCCGGGGCGGCCCGCGGCGCAGCCACCACGACGCAGTGCCTGCGGGCGGACGCTGGCTCTGCGTGGTGGGCGGCTGGGACGGGGCGCGCCGCCTGGCCACGGTGGCCGCGCTGGACACGGAGCGCGGAGTGTGGGAGGCGTGGAGCGCGGCCCCCGGCAGCTGCGCCCCCGCCGGCCTCAGCAGCCACACCTGCACCCGCATCTCAGACCGAGAGCTGCGGGTGGCAGGCCGGGAGGGTGGGACCCGCACTCAGCGTCGCTACGGAAGCATCTACACGCTGAGGCTGGACCCCGGCGCCCGCACCTACTGGTATGGCACCCCCTGCCCCAAACGTCTCACCCTCCCTTCATCCATGCTCTAGAAAAGCGAAGGCTCGGCAGAACCGCGGGCACCCTGTCCACAGCCTGACCCCCCTTCCCCCGCATCCACCGTGACAAGAGAGCGCAGCGCGCTCTCGGCTCGTATCACCCTCCTCTCCTCCGCCCACCGCACCGTGCGGCCTCCTTTCTGGGCTTGCCACGAAAGAAGGGCGCTGGGGTCCAGGCAGTACAGCCCTTTCGTTTTCCGGGCCGAACTTCTGCATCCCCACAGCTATAAGGAGGAGGGCTGCCACACAGCCTCCCGCTCGGGTCACTGTGCCGCCCTGCTCCGGACTCCCGGGCCCCACCCAGCTCACCAGCTGCTGCTCTTTGGGGGTTGCAACTCGGCTGAACCAGAAGTAGCTGGGCATTGGAGTCCGGGAAAGATTAAGGTATTATCTGCTCATATCTTGCTGAGGGTGGAAGGGGGCTAAAACGGTGAGGCGCAACCCACCCCCAGCCAACCCCTTCTTTCTTCCGGAAGGAGGAACCACCTGCTGCCCCCCATTTGATGGAACAGCTTGCCAGGCTTGTGAGCACTGGGCAGGGGTCCCAGCAGGGGCCTCGGGGACTTCGGCATCACTCATGTTCTGTGGTGGGGCCCTTCGCTGTGCTGTTTGGTGGAGAAACTCTGACCAGAGCCAGAGATGCCATCTGCAATGACCTCTACATCTATGACACCCGTGAGGGCTGGCTGGTTGAGGAGGGGAGAAGGTGGGGAGAAGGTGGGGGGGACATGGAAGAACCTGCAGGTGCAGAGAGAGGGCAGAGTGATGGGTAGGGAGGAGCAAAAATTGACAAGTTAAAGGAATACACAGAGTATTCAACTGTGAAGAGGCCCACAAATCAAGTGAGGAGAAAAATGGCGGGCAAACCTTTGGTCTTGTGAGGAGAAGCAGCCCCACGGTGCCGAGATGTTGCTGCCTCACTGAGCACTTTCTGACCCAACAGGCAAGTCCCCTTCCATGTGGTTCCACTTCCCCTGTGCAGACCATGGGCTGAAACGCGTGGGCCATCGGACCTGCCTTTGGAATGATCAGCTTTACCTGGTTGGGGGTTTTGGTGAGGATGGCAGGACACCTAGTCCACAGGTTTGCATCCTAGACCTATTTATCTAAAGAGTAGTGCCAAGACACAGCCTCTGTTTTGTTGCAAACTCATAAACCACTACCACCAGAGCTATCTGCCTCATTTCAAATGCTTATTAAATTTCAATCGGAGACTCAACTTTGTCTGTGAATCTTTTTTGGGGGAGGGTAGTCAACAAGTAGCCACATCTTTATTTGCAAGGGAAAGGATAAAATATGGGACCTCCTCTGGTATCATGAGCCATTAGCTTGCTGGAACCAAACCCCACAAGTCATAGGCTTTCCATGCCTCATGCAGATCCCACCCCTCATATTGGGAGAAAGCTTCAGGCTAGAGCTAAGCATTCTGACCAAAACATTTAATTAACAAAAAAATATTACAATAGCAGAGAAAATAATAATAATAACAATAAAGAGAAATTAGAAGTGGGAGTTAGGGTAGAAAAAAATGCAAAGGCCTTGGTTCCTAGGAGACCAACACTCCGGCTGAGCTGGACTTAGCCCCAGCCCCTTCTGAGTTCTCCTTGGCTGCTGGTTTCTCATCTTCCCCCATGAGACGAATGTTGTGCTTTTCCCGGAATTCATTTAATTCTCTTCCCTTTGCCTGAAGCTGCTGTGTGAGTGTCTCAATGATCTTCTGTATCTAGAGGGCAAGCGACAGGGATTACATGAGGCTTTCAGGACTCCCTTCCCCTGCCTGGTACGGACTATGGCTGGGGATGTGATGGAGGGATGATACCTCTAGCCTCACCAAGTATTAACAGGAGAGCCCAGACACTAAAAGTATGCCTTTCTCAAACATAATGATTTATAAACTTTAATGTACATAAGAACCACTTGGGCTGTTTGTTTTTAAAATGCTACTCCACAGGTGCCTGGCTGGCTCAGTTGGTAGAGCATGCGACTCTTAATCTCAGGGTTGTGGGTTCAAGCCCCACGCCGGGCGCCGAGATTACTTAAAAAAAAAAAAAAAAAAGCCACTCCACCGGCCCCACCTCCAACTGTTCTGAATCAATGGGTCCAGGAAGCTGCATTTTAAAATCAGTCCTCCAGGTGGGTGACCTGGATGCAGGTATCCATGGACTACACTGTGAGAAACACGGCTCTCCCTGCCCCCCCTCCCCCAGATCGGCCAGGTCACAGAGCGCAGGGAAAAAGGCTGGCAGCCCAAAACTACTCCTGTCTGAGTCTAGACTTAACAGAGCAGAAAAAGCACAGGCTAACAGGCTTTTTATGCTGTCTTCAACATGGGTTCCTACCCACTGGCCTACACCCCGGCGCCCCTCCCCTGCGCCTCAGCTGCCCAGAGCTTCTCAGGGGTCCCTGCTCACCTGCTCCTTGTTGTTCTCCAGGGCAGGCAGCACCTCTTTGACTGTCCGCTCGACCAGCACACCTCCAACCATGCGGTAGCACTTGCGGGCCTCATCCACCTCCTTCAGCGTGTCGATCACGAGGCTGCAGCAGGAGGACAAGGCGCAGCTGAGAATTCGGCCCCACCGACTGCAACCAGCCCTCACAAAATGGCCCGGCCAACTCTCCTTCCGTTTGCTGCTCCCCAACCTCCTCACCTGTGCTCATTCAGCTCCATCTCCAGCTCAGCTGCTTTGGACGCCAGACCCCGCTGTTCCTGCCGAAGGCGATTGAAGCCAGCAATCACCTTAGAAGACGAGAAAGAGTTAAGTGAGAGAGGAGACGGTGGACGTGGCAGAGGCTCCAGAAACAACACAGGAGGGCAAGCTCTGGACACCTACCTTGGAAAAGGAGTGGAACCCAAGTTTGTGATTTCTACCTTTAGTCTGTCAGGACTTCCACTCGCGCAACACTTACGGAGAGCCTACTGCGTGTTAGAACTGTGCCGGGCCCTCCTGCGGCTTCCGCGTGGGGAGGGACAGGCGCATGTACTACAGGTGGGGGGTGTGCTCAGACTTGAAGGGAGAGAGAGCTGTCTGCAAAGGCTTTGTAGTGGGTAACTCTCGTTTGGGTCTGCCCAGCATTCCTCCCACAGGGAAACTGCCCTTCCTGAGCTCAGTGGGCTGCTTGTGGGGCTACTATTCACAGGACCCATGCTCCCTGACTACGGGGGCAGCGACCTGTTCTATACCAGAGTCTCTGTACAGGAACCGATTTTGGGGGAGAGACAAAGAGGTCTAGAAGACAGTGGGAGCCAAGACAACTAGCTGTCCTGCACAGATGATCCTCGGTCCCTCTTCCTGAAATCCCCAAAGGTGCCCTGGTTCTTGAACTTGGTGTGACCCAGTTCTTGAATCTTTCTTCTCATTGTGTTCAGTTCTCTGAATGACCCACTCTCCTTCCAAAACACTACTTAAAAAGAAACAAAAAAAAGTTGGCCAGAGTCCGTTTCTGTAGCCTAGAAACCCTAACACAGGCTTGCGGAGACACACTGCCTTCACTGAAGCCTGAAGGATGAGAAACTGGGGGAGGAAGGGGTGCAAGAGATGCGTAAGAAGTAACGTATGTAAAGGCCCAGAGGAATGATTACTACGAGCTCCTTGTTCCCCAGAAACGGAGCAGGGAATTAAAATTTCATGAAAACCAGACTGGGTACTACTATCACCACCCCCATGACTTTAAGTACAGGGCTGAGAACTGTGTGTGGAGAGGAACATCAGCTGAATGGTAGAAAAGGTAATGAGGACAGAAAATTGTGGGGGTGGCTGGGGTAGGAGAAAAAAAAAAAGGAAAACCTGGGGCCCGGGGACAAAAGACCGGGTTTCAGGTTTTGTCTCTGCCACATACTGGCTCTATGGCTTCGGACATTTAACCGTATGGTTCTCAACCCTGGCTACACATCAGAATCCCCAGGGTAGCGTGAACAGTGGCGTCTCAGAATTACACAATCACTGGGTGAGGCCCAGGCATAAGTATTTCTTTCTTTCTTAAGATTTTATTTATTTTTAGACAGAGAGAGAGAGAGAGAGGGAGAATGTGCATGCATGTGGGGGAAGAGCAGAGGGAGAGAGAGAATCCCAAGCAGACTCGCACTGAGCCCGGAGCCTGGGGCTCGATCTCATGACCCTGAGATCATGACCTGAGCTGAACTCAAGAGTGAGCCAAGTGGGACACTTAACCCTGAGCCACCCAGATGCCCCAGGCCTCAGTATTTTCAAAAGCTCTCCCACATAATTCTATTAGTGCAGCCAGAACTGAGAACCACAGGGTTACTCTCTTTGAGCCTTAGTTCCCTCACGTGTGAAACACACAGGGAACCTACTCTATTGAGCTGTTGTATCCTGTGAACCAGTTAGTATGAAAGGACTCTCTAAGCAGGAGAGTACATTAACTACTATCACAGCCTTCTCTCCAAACCCACACGGCCTCCCCTCCAGCCCCTCCTATTCAGCGGAGAGCAGTGAGCCCACCCACTCAAACTACTGCTGAAGCTCTCACTCCCATTCACATCATGTCCAGTCTCACTGCCACTAACGAACAACCACCTCAACCTTACTAGGATCTCTTATCTCTAGCGCTCTCTGCAAGGCTCACTGACAGCTAGTAAGATCCTTTTTTTTAAAGATTTTATTTATTTATTTGACAGAGAGAGACACAGCGAGAGAGGGAACACGAGCAGGGGGAAGTGGGAGAGGGAGAAGCAGGCTTCCCGCGGAGCAGGGAGCCCGATGCGGGGCTCGATCCCAGGACCCTGGGATCATGACCTGAGCCGAAGGCAGACGCTTAACGACTGAGCCACCCAGGCGCCCCCAGCTAGTAAGATCCTAACGGCTGACCTGTGCCACCCCTACATCCCTCTACTGCTCAAAAAGCCAAGGAACAGGTCTGGCTAGGACCCTGCCACTCGAGCAGCGTGCTGCATCTCCAGGCCCCCACCGATCCATCTCCACTCCGTCCACTCCATCCACTCGTTCCAACAGATGCCTTGAAAACCTAACTCGTTTATAAGCTGTTCTTCCTTCACCTCCACTGCCTATACCAAACTATTCCATTTATAGTTAGCTTTTTCTCCACTGTCAGTGTCACAGATCAAAATAATTTCACCTAAGGGGTGCCTGGGTGGCTCAGTCATTGGGCGTCTGCCTTCGGCTCAGGTCATGATCCCAGAGTCCTGGGATAGAGCCCCGCATCGGGCTCCCTGCTCCGCGGGAAGCCTGCTTTTCCCTCTCCCACTCCCCCTGCTTGTGTTCCCTCTCTCACTCTGTCAAATAAATAAAAAATCTTAAAAAAAACCCCAGTAATTTCACCTAAGAAAATTCCATAACTAAACCAGATTCTAGATGCTCTCCTAGCACCCAAATGACCCACTCTTCTAGATGTATGTTGTTAAATACACCAATGAAATCAACTTAAGAGTCTAAAATTTCTGAGGCCTGAACTTATTTTCCTTAGTAATTAATAAGAATCTACTTTTCAACCACCAATTTAACACAACTAAAGGCAAAAAAAGAGATTTTTTTTAATTCCAATTTTTCTTCAAACATTCTTGTTAATAAACAACCCCTATTTCTTCCTGGTCCAGTTTATGAACTTGTAATCAAATGTCAAACTAGAATAAATCTATTTAAATGTACCATTTACCACAGTTTTATGGAAAATTTCAGCCACTGGTGTACTTAAAGAAAATGACATCTCTTAGCAGCTAACTGTAACCTAACTGGAAATTAGATGTAAAATAAACTGATATTAACCTGCCATCTCTGGGGTCTGCCACATAATGAAGACAGAAAGGCTGTGATCTATTCCCACATTCTTCCTGTTAAAATACAACTTTTCTAATGGTCTTCTCCCTTATGGCTAGAATTAAATTTCCTTCTCTTTCCCTTACTCCCTGTTCTCCTAAAGTTGTCTGGTATAAGCAGGGACGGCCAGGTCAGTGTTGATTCTCTCAACCCTACTAAAATCATCATCTTACATGTAAACATCCCTACTGAAAAAGAATCCAATTAAATTAAAATACCAGCTGTTTATTCAAAAGTAACTGCAATCCTGGTAACTATGCAGAGCTCTTTACATTCTCATAATTGGCACATACAAACAATTTAAAACAGGACATGGTTTTCTTCCCCCGCCCCAGCTTTACTGAGATATAATGACATATGACATTGTGTAAGTTTAAGGTATACAACATTATGACTTGATATATGTACATATTGTGAAATGATTACC